GGGAATGGTGTTCTGGTTCCGGTTCCAATTCTGCTTCAGTCACATGAAGCAAACAGGACGGGTAATTACGATGTCGAACAAACTCAGTCCGCAAGAAGTCGTACGTGGCCTCAGAGAACAAGTGTAGCCCATTCCAGTACTGTTGGATTGGAAACATGAATGATGGGTGGTTTTCGGGAAACTGTCTCAGCGAGCTTGGGATTGATTTAATTGTTGATCCTGAGAAAATAGGACGGATAAAAAACATCAGAATGATGCTGCACGTGTTGGAAAACAGTGTTTGTTTCGATGTGCAACCATTTCGATGCTCACCACGGCGCAGCTTTTAATCAATTTTCCAACCTTGTCAGGAATTGCCTCCAAGACCTGTTTACTCATTGAGTTCCCTGGAAATTCGACCACTGGTACACCGTCGATCACGCTCCAAACAATAAAAATGAACGCCCGCTAGTTTGATTCAGGTCAGCCGGGCACGATACACTGCACAGTGAGTCATTTTGGTTAATCCATCAACAGCCGAACTGGTAAAGAAAGTAAGCTCACGGTGTGACAGAAGGAAGAGAGCAAGAAGGGTGTATAACTGCATCGGATACGAATCCTATTGAGATGGAGATAAGAACTACCGGAGCACAACTGTCCAAAATGTTAGTGTGAATCGGATGTCAATGCTGGAAAGTTATTATTTTTATTAACCGTTATGAGGAGGAAGCAGACAACAAACACTTTAAGTACACTCTTCCAGCACACTACACTGAAAGGATTCGCGTGCATTACAGCATCCAAGAAATGGATGTACCTCATCTTAGGAATTCTCACATCTGGCGGTATCTGACTAGAATCACTAACCATGTGCCACAAAAAACTAAAAAGCATTGCTCCAAACTTGGTGATGAGTACCTTCAGAATGCCAATTCTTCTTTCACTTCTCCTATACAACTCATAGTCATGTGGTCTTGGTTACCCGGAAGGCATGTAGTCATAACCCAGCTCGGTCTAGACATTACCCCTTTTTCGTCTTCTCCACTGCACATGACGCGCTACATCCGGAAAACTGATTGTGCATAAGTTTATTTAATAAAAGGAAAAAAGNGAGATAAAAAATCGCTTCGGCACAGTAAGATGACTCAGCTGTTCTTGTTTAAAACAGTTGCTAGCGGTATCTACAAAAACCGTCAAGTTTGAGCTTTGATGAACAATTTCGATCAGAACCCTTGTGGTGTAATCTGTGTGCCGTGAGACACCACTCTTGAAATTTCATTTCTGTCTTAAAATTCTGTGATAATCTCTAATTGGAATTTCTTAAAATTGCGCTTGTGTTATGCCACGGGGTGTTTTCATAAACACTAACACTCTTCAGAATATCGCATGGTACTTATTTCGGATGGCTGAACAAATCTCCGTCAGTTCAAAAAACACAGAGCAAAAGGTGATTATGTAAATTAAAAATCAAATGTTCTCAATTACAGTGCTTG